CGGTGTCATATGCGTTTCTGCATGGGCATGCGTTTCTGCATGGGCTGAGACACATATGCGTTTCAAATGTTAAAGTGTAATGGCGGACATGGAGGGCCTAGCTGTGGGGTACACAACGCGCACATCCAATATAAACAATACAAAACGAAATCAAAGTTCTAGTAAAATTAACTAAATATCAAATACTCAAATGAATAAACCTCTTGACATGATAAACTCAGAAAATGAAATTACAATCATGCTATTGATAAGATGAACAACTACCATCCGCTTAGCCCATGCAGAAACGCATAGAGAATTTCAGTGTTATGCGTTTCTGCATGGGGTATCTAAAATCAAAACACCATCGAATTTCATCGCAAATTAATGTTTACTAGCAAGAAATGATTGCAACAATCTGATATAGGTCAAACTTTTCCATGCAAGTAGCATTTTTGAATTTTTTATCATTTTTTGTAGTTTGCCTTAGGCCCATGCAGAAACGCATAGAGAATTTCAGTGTTATGCGTTTCTGCATGGGGTATCTAAAATCAAAACACCATCGAAATTCATCGCAAATTAATGTTTACTAGCAAGAAATGATTGCAACAACCTAATATAGGTCAAATTTTTCCATGCAAGTAGCACTTTTGAATTTTTTATCATTTTTTGTAGTTTGCCTTAGGCCCATGCAGAAACGCATAGAGAATTTCAGTGTTATGCGTTTCTTCATGGGGCATCTAAAATCAAAACACCATCGAATTTAATCGCAAATTAATGTTTACTAGCAACAAATGATTAGAAAAATCTGATATAGGTCAAACATTTCCATGCAAGTAGCATTTTTGAATTTTTTATCATTTTTTGTAGTTTGCCTTAGGCCCATGCAGAAACACATAGAGAATTTCAGTGTTATGCTTTTCTGCATGGGGCATCTAAAATCAAAACACCATCGAATTTGATCGCAAATTAATGTTTACTAGCAAGAAATGATTGCAACAATCTGATATAGGTCAAACTTTTCCATGCAAGTAGCATTTTTGAATTTTTTATCATTTTTTGTAGTTTGCCTTAGGCCCATGCAGAAACGCATAGAGAATTTCAGTGTTATGCGTTTCTGCATGGGGTATCTAAAATCAAAACACCATCGAATTTCATCGCAAATTAATGTTTACTAGCAAGAAATGATTGCAACAATCTGATATAGGTCAAACTTTTCCATGCAAGTAGCATTTTTGAATTTTTTATCATTTTTTGTAGCTTGCCTTAGGCCCATGCAGAAACGCATAGAGAATTTCAGTGTTATGCGTTTCTGCATGGGGTATCTAAAGTTTACGAACCATCTCTTCTTGTTCGTCCTAAAGGACACTTGCAAGACTTGATAGGGATAATGTCGATGGGATATTTAAATGAGGGGCCAACGAGAAATTATAAAGAATTATAAAAAACCTTGGAAAAATTATAAAAACCATGCCCTTTCAAACACTAAATGTTGTATGTCTTAATGTTTCTTAACGGTTTAGACTCAACGATTAGTGATGTTTCTGCTGGTTTAAATTGTGGTTAAACTGGTAAAATGTTCTGTTCCCTTTTCGGTTATTGATAATAATAAGATACTGAAAGAGGACAACTTGAATAACTGAAGAGTGCTTTTCATAAAGGTTTTCATTAAGAGTTTTCATTAAAAATTCATTAAGAGTTTCAGAGAATTTCAGCTGAACATCAGGGTAGCATTTCTTCATGAGCGTAGTAATGTTTTTCTTAATGCCGAGGCTATAGTTTCTTTAAAATGGTAAAAGGAACAAGAGAAGCTGTTTATTACTGTCAAGGTCAGAGGTTTTAGTAGTAGGTTTAAACTGTATGTCGAGAAAGACACGGATTAACTTATTAATTCGTATTCAGATCATCTAAACCAATCTCTAATTCATTCATCTTTAAAGACCGCGACACTCCACTTTTGTGCTCTAACGTTATTTACAAGTTTACTTGTAGTGGCTGCAGCGCCATTTATTATGGCAAAACATCTCGAAATCTCATGATTCGATGTAGAGAGCATTTGGGAATCAACAATCATAGTCAAGGTGTTAAAACAGTTAGCCCTTTCTTCATTCACGATCATATTTCCAAAACTGGAACCCGCATTAAAATCAAATTCTTATAAAAAAGATCTATCCTTAAAAGAAGTTGCTGTCTTAAGATTAAACTAACTTACTAGAAGCAATTTTTATCGTTTAGATAATGAATGATTAAAAAACCCATATTGGTTCTTAGGCGCTCTGTTTTATTGCGTAAGAAAGTTATTGCGAGAATGCTTCATTCATTTGGAAATGTCATAATTTCTGTTGTTTTTCTCTCTGTAAGAGGCAAGTGCGATGCAGCAGAGAATAGAAAAAGCCACCAATAGGTCCCTCCTGTATAAGCCCCCGACAAATCAGTTCCCATGTTGTTAAGCCCCACTTGAGGCTTATCGTTGAATAATGAACATGATTTTAGCCAGTGATAAATCATGTATTAAAAAAAATCTGTTTTGATGATATTATTTTTGTTTTAAAGACGTGGCGAGACAGGCCTTGTTAGGAAAGGGGGGAGGGGGGTGTTGCTTACGAAACTTCCTGAGTGAGAAAAATTCCTGCAGTAAGGAAATTTCGAAATTACTTGAAGAAGGCCTGGTTTTTCCGATTTAGTACCAACAAGAAATCTCAAAACCTTCGCGGGAATATCATTAGGGACGGATTTCAGCGGCAATGATTGGGGGGTGTTTGATTGGATAGTGGTGCCACACCTTTCAGGTAACTGGAAAATGATGGAAAGGCCCATTTTAGAAATTAAACTTCTCGCTTCAAGGTGAAGAAGTTTAGGAAATAAAAAAAGTAAATTGTTCAATTATTTTTTAGCTACTAACCACCAAAAATATTTTCAACCGAATCAAAACAAAATTTACCAAAGGACCAAAAATATTGAGGGGTGGCGCACCCCCTACAGCCCCGTCCTGGTAAATCTGTCCCTGAATATCATATTAACCAACGGAGTAACAATCATTGCCTCAGATTCTTTATTGATCTCTGAAGACGTAGGGGCTCTGAACTACTTACAATCTTTCTTCCATTGAACTGAGGCATCAATCTGAATAAGAAATCGAGCTTTAAAAACATGTCCAACTGTTCTGTAAAATATCTAGTCATGCTTCAACTCGTATTTCAATTTTCATGGAGCCTGTGAAACTAAAACCGTTGATGTCTCAGATTGGCTATTGCCTGCTGATTTGGGTGTTTCGAAAAAGAAAATTTGAACAATAAGATAAAGTGAATTTAAGAGAGGGGCTTATAATAGCATATATTTGTGATGCTTCTAGATTTGAAAAATTATTTGAAACTGATAGCTCTTTAAGCCTTCATCAAATGAACCTGTATTTGCTTTTGGTAGAGGTCTACAAACTCACATCTATGTTCTAGCTTCATAAAGCTAGCTTTGGTGGAAAAAATTCCTGACAATCTAACGTCTCTTGATGAACTACAATTGTCAACTCTCAACATTTTATTCAAATTTTGGTTTTTTTATTGTAACAAGTATTTCACTCATTTTATGTTTTTAATAGTAAATTTTATATTTTTGTAAGTGATTGGTAAGCATCTTCAGCCTTATTTATTTGCAAACCTTAAAATATTACTGAAAATAGAGCTGTGGAGGATGTAAATCAACTTTTACTGGTTTACTTTTTTTATCAGAATGGTAGGAATTCTATACTATCTGTGATTTATTCAAAATTGCCCAGAATTTGATTCCTTGACCTGTGTAACAAGTTTATCTGGTTCTTTAGCCAAAAGAATAGTCGTAAATCAGCAACTAATTTTATATCGTTGGCTTTGAATTATGGGAATCATTTTGGAGGAAGCTCTTTGTGTAAATCTGCATAATTTTATTCGTATAACGCATGATTATATCACATATTCTTAGCTTTATATTAACTAGTTGCTGTTTTCTAACTTACAAGTCTAAATATGTTTTTAAAGTTTTGTGGCGATGGATCATATCACAAACCTTTATTAAAAGTTGTCAGAAAACGCACATCCGTTGAAACACATTTGTGTCCTGTCGAACGCATATGCGCTTCACGCCATTCACAGCTAGGTCCTGCATGTCCGCCATTACACTGTAACACTTGAAACGCATATGCGTCTCGGCCCATGCAGAAACGCATGCCCATGCAGAAACGCATAGTACACCGGATTCAGAAATCGATAACACCGTGATTCGGGGATTGATTATCAGGAATCGGACTAAACATTTAGCGGGAATTCGGAACTCGGGGGACCTATTGTGTACCCACTGTTATCAACTAGTTAATAGAACTCTTGTTAATGCACGGATATATTGTTAAACCCAAGGATATTTAAATTTTCCTTGAAGGTGATCGAGCAAAGGCATTTTCATTCCAGACGCAAAAGTTATCATTACTGTCTAGTCACTTCCACCTTTGTCATAGGTCAAAAGTGACAAATCAAAATACCACTCAGATTAAAACAGCAGAATCATGCTGCTCGCCTTTTTCAGATCTTTATAACTTTAACCTCACAAAACAGCCCTGGCAGAATAACACAGTTCTTTTCTTTACCAATTTCATTTCATAAACAACCTTCCACAGGCACCGCGGAGCGTTGAGAAAAGTGGGGGGTCTAAAAAAAGTGGGGGGGGGGGCTAAAACCGTATAAAAAGAGGCTTTTCTGGTAGTTTGATACTTAATATTTGGCATCTTTTGCAAAAGGTGGGAGGGCTAGAGCCCCCCCAGCCCCCCTGCTCCGCGGTGCCTGTTCCACACAGGACAACAGCCTCCTACCTACTTGTGTTTCAGCAATGTTTGACAAAATAATGCAAAAATGTAACCGTTTGTGTGACATACCTTGTAATCTTTATATCGAGTCAAGGTTTGATAATCTCATTTGTCTTCATGATTGCTCGAGGCAGTTTCGATTTTTTTTTCTCTGTTCTAAGGTTTCTGCAGTGAATCTAGAAAGAAATATTTCCCATGGATTATTTATTAGGCTAAGAAGGGGGGAGACGGAGAAGGGGGAGAAGAGGGAGAAGGGGGAGAAGGGGGAGAAGGGTAAAAATTATTAAATACAAGACCTCTTTTGTAGAAGAATAAGAATTCAAGGAAAATACAACAATAATTTAGAAAGACATGATGGAGATAGGCTTAAAGTTGTGTCGAATTGAATACTAAACAATCGTCATTTTGGACCAAGTTCAAGCTTATGTAAAAAGTCTATAGAGTTTTGGCAAACGATGTTCACAACCTTAATGAGAGCTGTCTACCTGCTCCATTGCTATTCTCCATCTCTTGAGCATTATGCAGCCATTTCTTTGGGGGGAGGGGGGGGGAATGTCTAGAGCTTTTACCTAATTTTATAGTTAAAGGTTTGAATTTCTGTGATTTCTTAAATATGACATTTTTGGAATTACAGTAAGATAATGTCATGTTTTGGTATTTGGTGTATTTTGCATATAAAAGAATCTGGATTCAATTCATAATTTATGCAGTCAATTTTCACTAAAAGTACTAAAAGCACTAAAAGTATGCATTTTGTTTTCTTTTTGAAAGGTTTTCCATTTCTAGCTTTGTAGCAGATCTAAAACAGATATCTTAATACTTAGGGTTAATTTGTATATGATCTAATATGCTTTTTTGCCCATCAATATTTTTTGGCTGACATAACGTTTGTCATAAAAATCCTGATTGATACAAACAGGACCCGCCCCTAGAACTAAAATGGTAATACATCAAACAGCCAACTTATGCATGTTCATCTTCTATAAGTTCGAGACATGCTCTCTCTGCGTCTCCTCGCACCCAAAATTGTAGTCATCTTTGGCAGTTTTTATCATACAATGTTAAAAATTCAGAGCATTGCCAACTTTTTTAAGTAAATTGTATGTAGAGTTCCTTAATTCTTGAAAATAAAAATGTCTAATAATCGCCTATTTATTTTGTTGCTTGACTACATTTATGGCCTAATTTCACACATTGACTAATGCAGAGTTTGCAACTTTGTAGATGCTTTTTGAATGAGATTTTTAACAACTCAGTTCATAAATGATTTTTCATTAATGACCTAAAATAAAATTCTTGAGAGATGTTGTTCATTTACATAAATTTGCATTCTTTAAAATTATTTTCACTTCAAGACGCAGCCAAACAGCAAGTCCGATTTACGAAGAGAACAGAAAAGAAGATGACGCTCAGGATATTAAGACCGCGGCATTGGCCCTCACATCTCTCTCCCTTTCACCTGCTGTAACCGGGAAAAGTGAAGGTAATTTTTTTAACTTAAGTCATGCTTTTATGAAACCGTATCGACTGTCCTAACCTCTTTATGAATAAAACTGGCAAATATTTCTCACGGGGTATAGTACGGAAATATGGCGGGGGGGGGGGGCAAAAAATTGTTTTTGGATGGCAGGGGAGGGGTAAAATTTGACCTAGTGCCTCTGGGAAAACAAAGCCTCCAGACAGGAAACTTTGGACTTACTGGGGACAAAAATCTCAGCTTGCAGAGGACGTGGGAAAATGGGAAAATGCCCGTGCCATTCAAAATTTTGAAGAGGACTATCCGGTTGGAGAATTTTTATATTTCAAACTGGGGAAAATTTTTACCGGGCATGTTACACAGTGGTATAGTATGAAGCTGACCCTAGGTGACTCAGCTTTCAGTGATTCTCCAACAAATGTAATATTCAACTTTTTTGGAAAGGTTCCTTATTTATCTCTTATTTACTGGTTTCATCTGTTTTTATCTTTCAATGCAAATGTTGGCTTTGATTATTTCATTTTTTATAAGATCTAAATTAATCTCGATATTCTTATTCTTTGGGATAATGTGAGGCTCGGGGGTTTTTTTAATGCTGTTATTATTTCAACAACGATTTTTCTGCAACTAAATAGTTTGTAGGCCATTAGATAACAATTTCAGTAGCAAAGTTGATTTGCTTGTAAAATCTTATCTGTCTTGCTAACACGAGAGAAAGTTTTCCGAAAAAAATATCCTTTCTTTCTTCAAATCTTTTTATCTTAGACATGTTCTGTCATTTTTCGTATAAGTGTCTTACATTTTTCGTATTTTTTGCAAATAAAGTTTCTGAGTTCTTTTGAAGTTTGTCCTCGTAGGGTTATGTTTTCATTAAAAAGCTTTTAATGACGTCACATTTAAGAACTCTTGCATTTGCACGTTACTTTTCTTACCAGCAACCAACTTGGTACATGATTGTTATTATGACAATGACAATCTTGTCTCTGACTAGTTTAGAAGACAATTTACCACTGTTTTGCATTTTGTTGCCTTTGAGATTAAATGTGATTGCGATGATTCCCCTTGCCAGCAAGCCTCCTGTTGTTCAATCGACCCACAGTTATTTGTTTACCTGTTTTAATGACGTCAATACGGTTTGTTTGCACGGATAAGATAAAACCTCTATGATAAATATATTATCCTCCTCCACATCCAGCCACATACCCCGTTTCTCTGAAGTTACGTCATTATATAAATAATTTCATGGTTCATGGATAAGCACACTTTCAGATGCTGGAAAACATCAGCGAAAGTCTATAAGGGATTTTGGAATATTAATAGGCAGGAGGAGACGTTAATTTCAAATTTCGAGAGTAAGCGCAAAGATACAGCATGGAAGTATAATTGAATTTAGGTAATACCTTTCTAATGTAAATGTAGCTTACTAGTAGAGGGTGCGGAAGTTAGCAACATTCTTTCAATAAAAAATTTGGACGACAGGCTACCTCTCCTTGCAAATCGCAGTTTTGAAAATTTTGGACTTTGTGGCTCCACATGTCACTAATGAGCCTTCGTCCTAGCACGGCTTGTCTGAGTCCAGGATTGTGTTTATTTTTTCTCTGAGCAATACCCTTTAGCTCTGTAAACTTCCTCAGAAAACAATTGAAAAGGGCTGGGCTTGGGTGTGGTATAATTTTCTTTGGTTTTTATTGGTTCTCGTTTATTTTTTCTCACGAAAAGATGCGGTATTGAGTATAAATCAACTGGCCGGTAGTCTTTGTTAGTAGATGAAATTTGCTTATAGTTTAATATATTTGCCGAAGTAGTTAATATGGATGAATAAATAACCAAGTGAAAGAATCTAGGACTCCTAGTAGGAGAGAAGATACGCTGAAAAGAGGAGAGAGCATAAGAATGTGGTCTGGACCCAAAGGGCTGGTATGAGAGCAAAAGGGCTGGTATGAGGGCAGCCAAAAGGGCTGGTATGAGAGCAAAAGAGTTTTGCTAATTAAACTCCGAAAGTTCTTTTTCAAGGGGGCTCCGGCATGGCCCCTACTCTTTTTGTAATGGTCTTGCTAGTTGTCTTGGCATTTACCATGTGAGATTTAGGTTGCTGAACTCTAGTCCTGTGCGATATCTAATGAATGGAGCCCAAGAACCATGCTGAAAGCTTTTTTCCTTGAAGAACGTGCATGGCCATTAATTGGGCACCAAAATAATTTAGTCTTGATTTACTGCGCAGGAATTGTCATTCAAATTGCTCCTCCGTAACTGTATTGAGGAAGCAGTTAGCGATAATCTTCGTTTTAGGTTTCCCATTCATGTAGTTATTGATGCCTTGGTTTCATTACCGTATCTGTAAGACAAAGCCACGCGGGTGTGTTGACGGAAATCAGATGTATACTGTAATTCAACGTGAATGGCCATTTTGCTAATTCTCAAGGGGCAAAATTATGAACGATCCAGCACGAGGATAGATATATTCAAATACAATCAAAGTGGTGGGTCACCGAGTGATTGTGCGTGGGGGTAACTGTCAGTGCACGAGGCCATAGGAGAAAAGGGGGAAGTTTAACATGATGAGGAATACTAGTACGTTCGCTTAAAAGTTCTCCAGGAGTGCAGATGTCTCAATTTTTCTAAACTTGACTTGACTTTGAAACGTCATAAAAGGACATGACTTTGAAGCGTCTCTCGATATAATTATTCCAGGTACTGCCACATCAAAAGTAATATACCCACCAATGACGAATGTGGGGAATTTCAAAAAAGAAAGACGCGGGAAGGTTGTCTTTGGGGGTCAAGTAAGTTTATTTGAGCCACGCCCAGATAGCCGGAAAAAGACATTTAATATAATTTCTTTAACAAGCTATGCACACCCTGAAAGAGGGCAATCATTAATCAATCAACTGTCGCAGCCCCTTTCACTAATTTGGCAACCGGCATCAGGCAGTGGGTCATATTCATAATTTCCCTCAATCATCTCCGTTTCAAAATATATTACCCCTCCTGATGGCTAGCATTTCCGAAAAGTCATGTGCTTTGATAGCCAATCATTTTCGAAGATTGTGAAATTTTCTGCTTGTGCATGGATGCCGTTGCATGGGCCAATACCGGTGTATAAAATTGAGCAACATTTACCTGTTTTGTTTACTTCGATCTTCAGACATGCAGAATCAACGCTTCGTCTTCCCACTTACCACTCAAAGGGATGAGGACAAGGCTATGGAACCAGGAGGAATGCAAGCAGACGAAGGGTACAGTGACAGCATTATAAAGCCTAGAACAAGGTCTTTCGAGACACCGAAGTTAACAAAGTCGAGAGAAAAGAGGGCCGGTTCATTGGATTTGCACGTTGACGAGCCGATACGCGAACAGAAGCTAGAAAGAGCCGAATCCTGGGATGTTGAAAAATATGGCCCAGATAACAAGGTATGTTGGTAAAAGTTTCAACGAATTATCACGAGACTTCGCCGTTATTATTGCCGTTACCTTAAGGATTGAACGTTTCAATACAGATACTCTCTACAAAAGGATAAAGATTTGAAAATCAGTCTCGAATCTTCATCTGTTAGAAAATTACCTGCTCAAAAAATTGCCAATTTGATAAGATGCATAGTAAATTCTTGGGGAAAATCTGGCCTTGGGTTCATTATCACTTCAAGCATGGCTGGAATGTATTTTGGCATCATTCTATTTAATTGATGAAGATTAGATGGCTACCTTAATTGATCTTGTTGTTTATATGCCTGTAGAATTTTGGTTTTCATTTTGGTGAATTTTAAGTTTCTTTTTGAAAATTACTTATCAGTTTCCTCTATGCAATGCATCTGCTATTATTAACGCCCACCTCTGATTCAAGCCCCTTCCTTAACGCAGTTGGCTGAAATTAACGCCTTTAAACGCTCCCCCCAAACACCTTCTTTTAACGCCCCTCAATTAAAGAATACATGGTTTAACACATAATTATCATACAATGGATATAAGGGGGCCAAATGAGCTAAGCAGGGAGCTTGAATTAGAGGTGGGCGTTAAGAATTCATTATTTTTTATGAATGGAAAACAAAACTGGATAAAGTCTGGATAAGTTAAAACCTTTCACTTATTTCCTTAACCATATTTCCATGAAACAGTGGAATTTAAGAGAAAAATATGCCTGGTGAACAATGATAAATACCAAATAACGAGTGCCATGACTATTTGAACTGCAATTAAGAGTTCATTTCCGATTTACACACATCCATTTAACCTACATCTTTTGAAAGCAGGAATTTATCTTTTTAACGCCCTTTCCTTTAACAGGCACCCTTTATGGAGCATTTCCAACAGCAAGGCGTTGATATAATAAGAATTTTTCATACATACCGTAAATCCTCGAATTAGCCCCCTGGGGGCTTATTTATTTTTTATATTTTTGGATGGGGGCTTATTCGAGGGGGGGGGGGGGGGCTTATAACATTAAGAAAACATTATTAAAAGACCTCGTTTATTTTGGTAGCAATTTCTTTATGAGCATTGAATTAATTACTACCAACTAATTACCTTATGAGCATTGAACTAAAGTATGAATTTGTTGTGGTAATTCAATAAAACGCCATAGGCAACCTCAGATGGCAAAAATCATCAAATGGAGGGGTCCAATTTGAGAATTTACGGTAGCAGTGGAGGCTTATTCGAGGGAGGGAGGGGGCTTATTGACAATTTGTAGTTTTAGGGTGGGGGCTTATTCGAGAAGGGGGCTTTTTCCAGGGGGGAGCAATTCGAGGATTTACGGTATATGAAAGAAAAAAGTCGTGGAATGGCTAGATAGAAGATGCAGATTTATATTTAGATCACCAGATGACCCAAGTTGCTTAATCGTTGTAGTATTTCAATATGTCAACTTGGAGCTGTTACAATTACTTATTTCGTAATAGACGCAGAAATTGGAGAAGGGGAATAAAGCATTTAAATGCATGTGGCGTGGATGTGGCCGGGTGCTCATGTCATTACCCGGTATTGTGCGGCATGTGAGGACGGCACATCTAGGGTAAGTCAGTGACGAAATAGATAACAGCATCTTGTTATCCATTTCATTTTGCATGCATGATACTTTATTTGGGGTTCGAAGCAAACTATGTTGTTTTGGCTTTGTTAGGGGGAACACGAACCTTCTTGGAGGTCCTTGAGCCACATTCTCTAACGTACGACTTTGCTTCATTAAATTCTTAGTGTTATTCTCAGGTGTGATTTGAGGGTTATGACAAACAAGCAGGGGATTCTTGCCCTCCAGCGATGGACTTTATTCATAAAGAGCCACACCCATTGAAGTTTTCTATGCTAACCCCTCACCCCCCATGAAAAGTATCTTGTCCACTCCTCGGTTCCAAATAAGAGGCGAGTAAAATTTCTCTCTAAAGGAATACAACTCTGTACTTCGTTCCTCCTTGTATTTAGCAGTTGCATGCACAAATGATCATACAATCAACCATTGCCCTCTGCGCCCACCCATTCCGTTTATTTTGACTCCTGCTTTATGGTGATAACTTGAAGCAGTACCACACATTCCCATCTAAGCACTTTATTTGCTTTTTAGACCAAAAACTGAAGACAACGTAGAATTCTATTTCAACGACTTGTTCATTGAAAACGATGCATCCATTTCATCAGATGACTCATTGCTAAGCAGTGGTATTTCAGACGACGATGCTTTGCTTGAAAACGAGGACACCAAAAAGGGAGGTCTACATATGACAGCGAGACGTGATGATGCATTGAAAACATTTTTACCAAGTTATTTGCCTAAAAATGATAATATGCAGGAGTATTTTTTGCCTAGAGCTGACAAGGGTGCAAGGTAAGTTTTGTTAGTGATTTATCTCCTCTTTCACAAGCCGTAGAAGTGACCACCCTAAAAGTGACCACCCTAGAAGTGACCACCTTCTAAACCTGCTCGAAAATGTTTCTTTTACACATAAGGTGGAAATTATTGTTTCGGACTTTTACTCATCTATTCTTTTTCAATTGACGATGGCAATTTAAAGGAGAGCTTCTTGCAAAGGACCAAGTGCTCTTTTTTGTAACTTTAAGTTACATCTTTGGGTTTTTGAAAAGTAGCTTAGCCTAAGAAGCCTTTAAAAACTTTTAGCACTATAACCAACAAAAGATAAAAATTTAATTACTAATTCTGAGCTAATTCTGACCTTTGTTGAGGAAATGCGTCTAGTGCCTAAAACTAAGCTTCAACCCGGTTTTTTGTCTGATCTTCTGTCCGGATTTCAGGACTACGTGCATCTTTTTATCCTTTTGGAAGGGTTCACGTCTCTCGCTCGATAACGTGTTCATATTTCACAACGAATTACTCATTTTCTTCGCATTTCCCAGAAATACCTTTTCCACTCCAAGGAAATGTATACAGCGACAGAAATTTTTAAATGCCGCTTTGTTTTATTTGTTCATTTGATTAGAACAAAAATTGGAAAAAGCAAAGGACGGATTCGGTCTTCCAGAGAAAAGGCTGGCTACGCTGGGCTCGAAACAGCGAGGAAGTGTCGTAAAGTTTATGGAATGGACAATCGTAACCTATGGTGCACTCAGTGCAGATGGAAGAAAGCTTGTGTACGTTTTGGGAAGTAGGTTACTTCAGAAGATGAAAGATTATGTAAAATATTGTGCAATTATCTCGAGAAACTCGAAACAGCCTTTAAAATTTGCCTTAATTCTTAGAACATTGTAGTTTTAGAGTTGTATTAAAGTTTTGTTATTGCCTATGCGAAGGGATTTTAAAGTCGAACTATTTTTCCAACAAAGACACAGCAACGTTCACTTTGCAGATGTATTTAGCTTCTTAGTCAAAAACGTATTTCTTAGGTTTTAAGCTT